CCTCATAACGGTGTGGTGCAGGGCAGTTTCGCTGCCATAGAACTCCTCTGGGCTCTTCTCACCCCTGCCCACCCCAACCCCTGACACCCACTAACTTTTATTTAGTCTTCATATTTTTGCCTTTTCCAGAATAGCATAAAGTTGGACTCACATATTATGTAGCCTTTTCAGATTCCTCCAGCTTTTTTTTTTTTAGAGAGATTTTTTGCTATAGGGCATACACACTTGCCAGAGAAGACAGAAACAGAGAGACAGAAAGCAAGAAGCCACCCCACCAGGGAGCATGGCCACACCGCAATCCCTTCTCCTCCAGTCTCCTCTCAGGAGTTTGGACACACATGCACATGTGCCCGGCATGAGTTTTAAGACGCCAGGTCCCAGACTCGAACCACGATCGACTATGAGGGAGTCCAGCAATGTAACTGTTACACCATCTGCTGGTCCCCTCCACCAGCTTTTTAAAAAAGAAACTTCAATTTTAATAGTAACTTCCTTTCATGCTAGAGGGCTCCAAAAGTTCAGGTACCTGGTTAAAATTCAAAGGTATTAGTGTAAATGTGCCTCATCTTCTCTCATGTGTCACTTTCTTTCCTATTTAATAGTCTATTTTGGGATTCACCAGGACTCTGTCTCATTTCTGCCCTCCCAGCATCTAGAAAATTCTCATCACTCAGTTGGTTCTTTTAGGACAATTTTTATTTTCTTGGGAGAATGGCCTTGAGCAGTGGTTTACGAGCTGTGAAGCCACTGAAGTAGCCAGAACCAAAGTGATTCCAAGCTGCCAGGGCTCTGGGCTGACTCCCAACTTGGATCAGAGCCCTTCTAATTATTGGTTTTATTTTTTGACTTTGCGGAAGAGATCTCAATATTTGTTACTGCTTAACAATTATTATTTAGTTATCAAATGCCAGACATCGTGTTGTTTATAAAAATCAAAGGCTTAGACAACGCTTGCCTGCCCACCTTACTGTATCAGAACACTCTCAGGAAATTGGCCCACACTCTGAACGCTTGAAATTCTTAGGTAGTTCTGGTCATCAATTTAGTTGGAAAGTAGATAGGTAAAATCCATGTTTCTCACTTACCTAGAGAGCTCATAAATGAAGCTTTAAAAAAGTATGAATGTGGGGAGACCAGCGGGTCAGCGTGGTGATAAAGGACTCTGGACCCCCCACATGGCTGACCACAGTTTGAGTCCCACACCTGGTGGTTTGCTTTCTCACTTTCTCACTCTCGCTCTGTCCCTCTCCGGTCAAGTTTAAATAAATAAATAAATAAATGGATAAAGAAAGTTAAAGAAAATAATTCTTTAAAAATAAATAAATAAGTATAAATAGTGAAGCACTGCCTTGAGAGACTGATGTGGCACATCTGAAGATGTCATCAGTCTCTTAAGGCAATGGCTTCAGCATTTATATTTGTGAAGAGATAGCCCGCAAACTACTCCACAGTCCAAGGAGCTTGGGGAACACCACTCTGACGCAGACCGTGTATGGCCATTTTTTATACGTGCACAGTTTAAAGGCTTTCTACCTAGGCAAACGTTACACTTGGTTGTGAGACAAGCAACTTAGCTTTCGTCGTTTATCCCTGGAACACATCTCAGATCTTCCCTAATCTCATTGCTCCTTTAAGCATTTGCTTTCTTTCTTTCTTTTTTTTATTTTTTTTTATTGTGGGGAGAGGTTTTTGCTATAGGGCATGTGCACTTGCCAGAAAGATAGAGAGAGACAGAGAGAAAAAAAGCGAGAAATCACCTCCCAGGGGGGATGGCCATGCTGCAATCCCTTCTCCTCCATTCTCCTCTCGGGATCTTGGGCATGCATGCACATGCACCTGGTGTGAGTTTATGTCACTGGGTCCGGGACTCAAACCGTGGTCGACTACATGGGAGTCCAGTGACATAGCCATTACGCTAACTGCTGGTCCCTGCATTTACATTTTTGACCTCTAGTTGCAGAAATCAACTTGTACAAGTGGCCCCAATTCCTTCATGCACCCTCATCCCACAGCAGTTGATCTGAGCTTCTGACTAGTCAAGAGAGGTGAGACTAGACAAAGGCACTGTCTCCGTCTCATCAGCCCGGGAGTGCTGGAATTCTTCTCAAAGAACCTCTACTAGAAAACATACCACACATTACAAGGAAATGAGCTGGGCATCAGCTGGGTATAAATTGCGTACAGCAGGCAAATTTCTGCTCATAATGGTATTTAGAATTTTGACAGTAATTAACTTGGTCAGCAGGCAGATGGGGAGACCTTAAATGCTTTTCTTTGAATTCATCTTTCTTGAGTGAAGACAGAGAAATTACAACAGACAAAAGACTTTGGGGTTGGTGGCCTTGATCCAATGGAGCCCAAAAACCTGTGTCCTAGATTTATCCACTTAGCACATTCCCTCTCACCTGGTGCTGAAGAAGCCACTGCAGTCCCTTTGGGTGATCCCCAATCACTGGCTCCTGCACTTGCTTCCCCATCCAGCCTGCAGTGGGAGACAGCACGGTGCATAGTGAGCTACTGCAGGCTATAACAGGCCTGAGCTAGGGCTCTGGCATGTTTGTTGGGTGACTCTGGGCATGTTCATTACCCTCCATGAGTTAGCTTTGCCATTCATACATGAGAAGGAATCTTCTCAAACCCATGAGGTTGAGATCACATATGATAAAGCCTCTAGCCTGTGATTTATTTTAATCTCTTGCCTTGGGATCTTCCTTATGGAAAAATTTTCCAGTGTGTTCTTGTCAAGTAATGCGTCCTTCCCCAGCTTCTTCTGGCTTAATGGTACAGCCATGATTAAGGATGAGAGCGGAGGTGGTACTGCTCATTCTAAGTTCCTGGGTATTTTACCCTTGCTCCCAACTTAGTTCCTTCTGGGTTCACGAAGTGTATGCCTTAGCTAGATACTTGTGGCTGGTTTGAAGGTTTAACAAAGCTTGCTTCATCCCCCGTTGCTCTGGGATGTATCTGTGACTGAGTTGCTGGCTGTTAGACTCCACATTTCCCTATTTCCTGGACATATCAGCTCTTTCCAGACTTTCAGTGTGCACTTCCAATGGAGCAGAAATGAGTGAAACACACTAACCTAAGCCATTCAATGCTAATAATTGCTCTAGATTCTCCTTCGTGGCTCACTACTTGAACACAAACCATCTCCCTATCTCTTTCCAGAACAATCCTTCAGAATATCATTACAGGGGCCAGCAGGTGGCATAGTGGTTAAGGTGCTGGACTCCCATGTGGTCAACTGTGTTTCAAGTCCCAGACCCAGCAACTTGAAACTCATGCCAGGCAGGTGTGTGTGTGTGCGCCCCAAATCCCAACAGAATGGAGGAGAATGGATTGTGGTGTGGCCATCCCTCCTGGGGGAGGATTTCTTGTTTTTGGCCTCTCTGTTTCTCTTTGTCTCTGGCAATTGCATGCCTAATAGCAAAAAGCTCTCTCTCAAAGTAAATAAATAAGAATATCATTACAACAGTTTGGTTTATTTTAAAAGTATCCTGTTATACAGTGACAATCACAGAAATACTTTCAGTATGTGGAGGGAAGAGTCATTGTAGCAACTATTTCTGCTTCCTCTCTTAATTCTTACCAATCCCTATGCCTTCCCCCTTCCATCTGCTGCCCAGATACTCCATTCTCCACCACCCCAGCTGTTCCTTGAGTCTGGGGTTCATCCTTATATCCATCAACCAACCACGCGGGGCCTCAGGACTGAAGCAATCACTTGGTAGTTAATGTGGGAGGCGGGCAGGGGAGAGAAAGACAAAAGGAGGAGGATCTGCTTTGAATAAATGGACATCCTGAACTGGACTTCCTCTGAGGGCCTTAATTGTTTATTTTATTACTGTTCATACTCCATTCTCACTTTCCATCTGCCCTTCCCCTGTAATTCTGTATTCCCCAGTGACTGAACTGCAGCAGCCAGCCGGAGAGACCACAGATGGCTCAGCGGGTCTAAACAGAGCCCCTCAATACTTGCCTTTAACTTCCACAGCTCTCCATCAGGCCCTATGCTCCTTTCCTTTTTAACCCTGTGCCTCGGAGCTTTTGCATTCCACGGTGGTACCTTGCATGGACCTTTGACCTGATTCTAAATTACAGGCTACCCACACAGTAGCATCCCCCCATCCAGGGCACGCCAGTCCACCAGAAGGGAGGGAAGGACAAAGACGGGAGGAGCAGGCTGATGTGCAGGCCCCCATCGCCTTCTGCATGGGTTAAGGGCCAGCCAGCTTCCCAGGTGGCCATGGGCCCGGGCCATTGTGCAGAGACCACACCACACATCTCTCCTCCCAGCTCTCCTGTCACTCACAAGCCAGTTATTTATTGTCTCCATTTAGCTCCTTTCAGGCGGCACAAAATAAAAGGCCTATCATTTGTGTCGCGTTGACGGCTTTCTGTGCCGATTTACCATTCTTCATTTGCTAGGCCTCTGGTCCAAAGACGCAAGTGAATACTTAATGTGATGCACATGAATGATCTTAGACCCTTTTGACCCAGATAAAGTAAAAGGGAGAAGCTCCATGGGGCTTGGTACAGAATTATTTCATCCAAGCTACTTCTCTCCAGCTTCCTTTTTTCTTTCCAGCCCTGAGGAAAGCCCTCCTCTGCAGCCCACTGCACCAGCCCACCTACCTAACCTTCCTTCCTCCGGATGTAGAACCCACCAAGGCGAGGTCTGCTCAGGGCAGGGACCTAACTGCATCTGAACTGCCAAGGGTTTGGAAGGTCTTATTCATTCATTCTCTACAAATGGGTTAGAAACTGTGCATTTATGGAATGTGCTCTGTGAAGAATAATTAACCAGGTGTTTTGATTGTTTCTAAGAAGTTTGGATATGGTCTTAGGACCACTGTTGGAAGTATTGGTTAGCCCCCAACACTTGAATGTCATCACCCACAAGTTCCCATCAGAACCTTCTTCCTGGGTGCCCAGCTGTACCCTCCCAGAATTCCTTAGCCCTGACACCCTTAGCTTTAATCATTCCATTGTTCTTCCAGGGAAGGACATGGCTGCTGTGCAGAGGACCCTGATGGCTCTAGGCAGTGTCGCAGTCACCAAAGATGATGGCTGCTATCGGGGAGAGCCATCCTGGTTTCACAGGTAAATTGAAGCAGCTTGAAACTCACGCTGGGCATGTGTGTGTGCATGCCTGAAACCCCAGGAGGAGAACAGAAGAGAAGGGATTGCAGCATGACCATCCTTGCTAGAGGGGCGATTTCTCACTTTTCCTCTTTCTGTCGCTCTCCAGCAAACACATGTGCCCTTTTAGGGGTGGGGGAGGAGAAAGAAATATAGGTTAGGCTCTTGCAAGATTATAATGTTATTTTGATCATTCCAATAGGAAGTTTAAGAATAGTTTTGCCCACTCTGAGAGCCTAAGGCCATGAGTTCAAGAATGAGGTTTTAGGATCAGCAGTTAGCATAATGGCTGTGGCTGGACTCCCAGGTAGTTCACCATAGTTCAAGTCCCGAACCCGGTGGCTTAAACTCATGCTGGGCACATGTGCATGCGTGCCCAAGATCCTGGGAGGAGAATGGAGAAGGGATTGCAGCGTGGCCATCTCCCCTGGGGGGTGATTTCTTACTTTCCATCTCTCTGTCTCTCTCTGTCTTTCTGTGAGCACACGTGCCCTATAGAAAAAAGAAAATGAGATCTTTGCCGGCCACATAGTTTTGAGTACCTGCTTCTTTATTATCCTGTCCCCTGGGAGTGGAAGATGGTTTAACCAGAAGGAGGGTCTGAAGACTGGGGCTCCCTAGAGGCTATTTATGTATAAAGCCCTTAGGGACAGGCCCTCCTGATCCCACAACTGAGTCCCCCAGAGCAAAACAAAACTGATGTTGCCAACAGCAATCAGATGTTCAGGTCAACCTTCCACCCAGGCAAGAAACGATTGTCTTTCCTACTCGATTCCTGGACCACCAGCTCTGCCTGGGTGCCATTTCTCCTGTGGCTCAGCAGGATGGATGGCCTTTCTTGGAGGTGGCTTGATGTCGGACTTGGTTTTATATGAGCCACATATCTGAGTCTGCTTGCCCATCCGTCTCTCTGCTCCCTCTTTCTTTCTCTCCTTTTTCTTCTTGCATGGAGGAAAGGGTACATATGTCTGTTTGCCTGGCACAGTCCTGCTTAATGTCTGCTGTCCCAGTGTGTTTATTAATACTCTTTCACTCTACAAGTGTCCTCATCTGGATGATACATTATAAGGTTATCTCAGTAAAGGGCCTTTTCTAAGGGATTCTGGGTTGTTTTGTTTTGCTTTTCTTGCTGGGGGTTGGTGGGGAGAGAGAAAGGCATGAAGAATAAACTGCATAGCTTACTGTTGAAGAGAAGACAATGCCTTGTAGCAGATACATTGGCTATGCATTTTCCTGAGCCCCCTTTTTTGCCTGACAGTTTTAAAAAGGCACAAGCTCTCGTTTGTTTGTTTTTAAATGAACTTGGGCTGAAATCTCCTAGATATTGACCTGTTGAAACCCTGAGGGAAGGGTGGAATGGTATTGATGACATGAGTTGCAAGAACTGACTTGAATTTCTACCGGCCTTGGGGTGACTGGGAAAGGAAAGGGGATGCAGACTGAGATGGTTTAAGGTGGTTGGGAAAGAGGGAGACTGGAGAGGCAGAAAGAGGGAAGGCTGAGAGAGAGCTCCCCAGAGAAGCAATGATTCTCTTTTGTTTTGTGCTGGTAATTCTGCAAACTGTCAGGGCTTCTAAGGGATAAGAAGCTCATGCGTCAGGGCGGGGCCCGCACCTGTTACAACTATAGCTCAGGGTAGGGCCCTGGCTCCAGTTAGGGCCTGCAGGTCAATGTGGTAACCCGGATAGACCCTGTCTAACTATTGCTCATCTTGAGAAGGGCTTGAAAACAGCCCTAATGATATTATTCCGTCTTGCTCTCCCCATTCAGGAAAGCCCAGCAGAATCGGAGAGGATTTTCAGAGGAGCAGCTTCGCCAGGGACAGAACGTAATAGGGCTGCAGATGGGCAGCAACAAGGGAGCCTCCCAGGCGGGCATGACCGGGTACGGGATGCCCAGGCAGATCATGTAGGACACCGCATCCTGCCCCCCTGGTAGAGAGGACGAATGTTCCACACCACCGTCTCTACGAAAAAGAAATAGTTAGTCACCTTCTGACCTCCTCTTTCTCAAAGCCTTCTGTCCCTGGTTTTTGCAAGTGCTGCATTTCCGCTGAGAATCCACGTTGCCTACTGCTGCCACCTCCTGTTCATTTAGAACTATGCAAAGACTCCGCTTCCTTCCTCTTGAGCTCCTTCTTTGCCCTAAAGTCTCTGTTTCTTTGACTATTTATTTATTTATTTGCCAAAAAGTCCCCTCCTCAACTTATAGAATGCACCGAATAAACAAATTAGTCTTGTGTCTTAAAAGTGTAAAGTTCATTCTTTGCCTTAGGGACTTAAGACTGTCATTAAGAGGCCAGCAAGATGAAATCTTAAACTGTTAACTACTGAAATAACAGGCCAGCAGGTGCACGGTGGTTAAGGCAAAGGTACTGGACTCCCACATGGCTAACCAAGGTTTGAGTCCTGGACCTGGCAGCTTGAAATTCACACTGGGCATAAGTGTGTGTGTGCATACCTGAAATCCCAGGAGGAGAATGGAAGAGAAGGGATTGCAGCATGGCCATCCCCTCTCTCTCTCTCTGTGTGTGTGTGTGTGTGTGAGAGAGAGAGAGAGAGAGAGATTTCTCACTTGTCCTCTTTCTGTCGCTCTCTAGCAAACACATGTGCCCTATGGGGTGGAGGGGGGGAGAAGGAAATATAAGTTAGGCTCTTGCAAGATTATAATGTTATTTTGATCATTGCAGTAGGAATTTTAAGAATAGTTTTGCCCACTCTGAGAGCCTAAGACCATGAGTTCAAGGATGAGGTCTTAGACCTCCACGTAGTTTTCTGAGTACCTACTTCTTGTTTATTGTGATTGAAACTTTAAAGAGCACAATAATAAGCACGACGAAGCCCGGTCTTCAGGAACTCTCATATCAGCCAGTGACAGAGAGTGCACAGGAGGATGGATGGCTTTACTGAAAGATGGACGGTTGAATGAATGAGCAGTTTGTACTTCTTCAGCATTAATCTTCTTTCCACAGACCAGGCCTTGAGGTATTTATATATTGTTTCATCATCCAGGAGTTATAAGCAATGTAGCTTGCTCTCCTTAAATCATTCATAGGCTCTAAACTCTTAAAACTCTTGGAGATGACCTAATATTGAGATCTGCCTAAGATGCATAGGTTTTCAAGATATTTTCATGGGTAGAATAATTAAGGGGACAAATAAGCATGAGTTTATAGACCCAGGGATTTATAAATTCATTGTATTCTTTTCTACTCGTATTAATAAGGGAGAAAAGGAGGTTTTGTTTAGTAAGAAAATAAATAAGGTCTTTTGTCATGAGAAACTGAAATAAATGACACTATAGACGTTGCCGTACTCTCAGTGCTCGGGTGGTGTTTTTCAGACTACATTCTTCGCAGTGTAAACTTCCTTAGAGGATTTTATGGGATCCCCATCAGGGCAGGACAGCTGGGGAGCAGAATCCTGTGTCCCTGCTCCTGCTTCAACCAGTCTTATCTATTTTCTATATTCAAATTCAGTCTAACACTTTAAAGAGACTTAAAATATAGAAAAAAGGAAAGAAAACATTATGCTGAAGGAAACTGGCCTGTGGGTTGCCTACGTGGTTTAATGTGTCCTCTGTGAGCCTTTGTGGCCTTTCGACAGCCACCATGGATTGTCCATTCCTGGAAAGGTGTTACTCAAACATGGCAACTAAATTGTTTCCTCAAATCGTACCTTGGAGTTGCCCTAAAAGTAAGGGAAGAAAGTTGACCTGTCTCTCAAAGTGAAATAAAACTGGGCGGAAATTCCTGGAGAGACGGAAGGTAGTTTGGTACTGGGGGTAGGTCGAAAGGGAGCTTCCAGACTCTGCCCTGTTCTGTCTCCCCCATTAGCCTGGCTGTGCCATTGCCGTACCAGAGACACCGGAAGGCAAGCAAACAGCACCAGAGCCAGCAGGAACCAGCCTGCCAATCCAAGGCAGTAGTAGAGCCCAGATGGAGGGAGGAGCAGGTAATAAGAACTGTGGTGGGACCAACAGTTGAAAAAATAATAGCTATGTTGCTGAACTCTCATGTAGTCAACCGCAGTTCGAGTCTTGGACCTGGTGGCTTAAACTCACGCCTGGTGCGTGTGCGTGCATGCCCAAGATCCCAAGAGGAGAATGGAGGAGAAGAGATTGTGGCGTGGCCATTCCTCCGGGGGTGGTGATTTCTCGCTTTCTGTCTCTTTCTGGCGAGTGCACATGCCCTATAGCAAAACCCTCTCAAAAAACAACAACAAAACAAAACAAAACAACAGAAAAGATCTCTGGTAAATGTGCCAGCACCTGAGCACTGGCTGCTCCCAGCACCACCCGTGCAGGCTCCCACCCTTTCATCGCTATTTGCGAATTGCACCTAGAGATGAGGATTCTGAAAGATTTGAGACTCTAGGACAGAGGCTTACCTGGATGATGGGGTTGTGGGTAGAGGATCCAGAACAGAGGACGAGAGCGAGTCGAGGCCATAGAATTCTAAGGAGTACCTCCCTTAGTGCATCACAGTTCCTAAAGGCCAGCAGGCATGATCCAAGCGGGGCCCCGAGACTTTATCCCACTTTTCTGGCTTTGCTTTCGCATCAAGATAGTAGATAACCTCAGTAAAAGATGGCTGCACAGGCAGGAACTAAGACCTTCCAGTGTAAACGTGGACCGGAGAGAAGAATCTTTGAAATGAGCATGGCTGATCTCCTAAAAATAGTGAGGGAAAGTATTAGAAACATCAATCAACAATCCATTATGGAAAAAACAAATCAACTAATGGTACAGAACATGAAAATATAAAGTGAATGAAAGAAAAGGAATGGCAGTATGGAAACAAAGAACGACTTTAAATTTGGAATATTATGGCATGGTACTCTGTAAGAAAACAGTAGGCACAAATAGATGGGATACAAAGAAAAGCGTATATGTGTTAGCACTCATTGAGTTGAAATCTCGGGGAAGGGGGAAAAATCAAAGTAATAGGAAGAAATGTAAGAAATGATTTTGAGACTTTTCTGGAATTGGGGGAGAAAAAAAGGCATAAACATTCAGCTTTAAATACCTTCATAAAGTACAAAAGCAATGAAAACTTGGTGAAACCTCTCTGTGGGAAACATTATAGTAAAGTGTATAACCATTAAAAACAAATACAAATGTCTCAAAGCTGTTAAGAAGCAAAAGCACATCAGATATTAAAAAAAAAAAAAAAACAGGAATCGGAGTGGCATTGGACTTCTTAATAGTAACTCTGGATATACCAAGTGATGTTTCCAATGTGCTGAAGGAAAAAGCCAAAACAAAGCATTGAACACAGCTAATATCTATCCAGCCAATAATTTTTTTAGCCCAGGAGTGAAGAACTATTAGCAAAGGCCCTCTTAGAAAACAAATTGAACAAAGTGTCCCAATAAGAAAAACCTTACCAGTAAAAAGCTACTTGATCTGGGAAATAAGGTAAGTAAATAAGTTAGAAAAAAAATTTTTTTTTTTAATTTTAAGAGGTTTTTGCCTTTAGGGTATGTGTGCTCGACAGAGAGAGAAAGACGGAGACAGTGAGAGGAAAAGTGAGACCCCCCCCCCAAGGGGGGATGCTGGCATCCCTTCTTCATTCTCCTCCCAGGAGAGAGGGCGTGAGGGCATGAGTTTCAAGCCACTGGACCTGGGACTCAAACTGCAGTTGGCCATGTGGGTGTCCAGCGACGTGACCGCTATGCCATCTGCTGGCCCCGTTTTCATTCTTTTTCAAATATACAGGATGAAAGAAATAAAAGCACTAAATGCAATGCAAAGCTACAATTGTAGATAGCACAATAGCGTGGCATGGATCGAGAAGTGCAGAGAACAGGTAAGGAGATGCTAAGAAAATGACCTTGTTTGGAAGAAAGATATTGACAAGTTGAAGAAATCGTCTAGAAAAGATTAATGTATCAAGTCCAATTCACCTAATAAGGCTAATTTGACATTGATTCCAAAGTCCGATAAGGATGAGAAAAGAAAGTTATAAATGGATTTTACTTGTAAATATTCATGTGAAAATTTCACAATAAAATAATATCTAACCAAGTCTAACAACGTGATTTTCAAATCCAAATGAACCATTTTCTCTGTTTGGATGAATGCTTTTTTCCTTCTTCTTAACTAGATAGGCTCTTTGGAGACCCACTCTCTTCCAGAGTGAACACCAAGTCAAATGTCAAACTGTGTCCCATTCCTTGTGTCCTCCCCCTTTTCTTTATGGTTTTGTCCTTGGCCATTGGGTACATGCGCTCACCAAAGAGAGATACAGAGACAGTGAAAGGGAAAGTGAGAAACCACCCTCCCCCCCCAGGAATATGGCCAGATCACAATCCCTTCTCCTGCATTCTCCTCCTGGGATTTTGAGCACACACGCACATGCACACCCAGTGTGACTTTCAAGCCACAAGGAATACCACTTGAACTATGATCAGCCATGAGGGAGTCCAGTGCCGTAACCACCACACCATTTGCTGGCCCCATCAACTTTTTCTCTTTTTTCTTTTTGCGAAGAGGTTTTTGCTATAGAGCACGTGCGCTCGCCAGACAGAGAGAGAGAGAGACAGAGAGATAGAAAGCGAGAAATCACCCCCCAGGGGGTTGGCCATGCTGCAATCCCTTCTCCTCCATTCTCCTCTCAGGATCTTGGGCACGCACGCACACGCACCTGGCGTGAGTTTTAAGCCACTGGGTCCAGGACGCGAACCGTGGTCGACTACGTGGGAGTCCAGTGACATAGCCGTGCGTGCCCAAGATCCTGAGAGGAGAATGGAGGAGAAGGGATTGCAGCGTGACCATCCCCCCTGGGGGGTGATTTCTCGCTTTCTGTCTCTATGTCTCTCTCTGTCTGTCTGGTGAGCGCATGCGCCCTGTAGCGAAAAAAAACTTCTCCAAAAAAAAAAAAAAATCAAATAGAGATTGCCCATTCCAAGCCCTGAATTCTATTTGTAATGATACTGGTGACCAGGTGAAATGAGTTATCCAACATCATTGAGTTGATTTTTTTTTTCCAAGAGAGAGGGAAATGGGTATTTTTGATAAGGTTTCACGACGCTGCAATTTTACTCCAGTCTCCCAGTCAGCTATTTTGGTTCCAGTTGCCAAAAGCAAAACCCGGCTTTCCCATATGCAGACTCAGCCGCTGCGCAGTGGTGCCCTCCCTGGTACACTACCACTGAGCCTAGTTAATTCTTGGAGCAAGATTTACGTTTAGTTTTTCAGATCCCAGACAGTGCTTATTCTTCTCTTTTTACTTTAAAAAAAATGTA